AAMGTCCTCAGCTAATTTTACGTTAGGAAACCTTTAAAGCCAGTTTTGTGAATATTCACAGACTCTACGGGTATCAATACTCTAGTTCAGTACACTGAGTGGGCGAAACAGAAATGCACGTCAACTTTTTTCATCATTTTGCTATGACTAACAAAAATAATTGTCGTGTTCCAATAAGTCTGATCTTCAATAGATATCTTAAAGTGATTTTAAATCTTAAAAGTCTGTATCGGTATCAAATGCTCAGGTAATTTTGAAAATTAATATACCTGTATACTGATTCCTGATCTTGGTGCGCAAAAAATTAACATTGAATAAACACTGAATTTTGCTTGTTTCTAAACAAAATGATTTCCATTCTTTTGGAATACTTACCTGAGCTTACACAGACACAAAGCACTAAAACTGCAAGACTTAAATTCATCTTAATTGTCTCGCTTCGGCTTGTTATTGAGAAAAATAGGAAAATAGTTCCATGTAGCTCCTCAGAGCKGCTGCGTRTCCCAAGAAACCCTGACTTGAACTACTTCAGAAGTTGCATGTTTAACCCTCGCGGTAATGAAGGAATGTCAACAATATTACTGTAAAACAACAGCCTTGAAAAGCGAACTATTGTGCTTACTTGACACCTGAAAGGACTTCACAAGCTAGTATTAATATAGTATATCGCTATCACATTATCATTCTTATATAGTATTGAAAGTATAGGGATTCGTTTACTGAAATTTAACTGTGCTGTTTATTGAGCTGGCATTTTTGAAGGCTTGAAAAAGACAGGCATAATCACGTGCAATTTTGTTTTTATTTCGCTTGATCAATTGGATTTAAAGACATATTTATTGATTTCATTATATGTTAGAATATAAGTCAATCAACTCCAATTAAGTTATCATAAACACAAACTTAGACGCTACAATGTAAGCCATTCATTTTAACCATCAATACTTTCAGTTCGCCAAGATCGACGAAAAACTCAGATCTGCCGTGCAGTAGCAGGTTTCGGCGGCGTATTTGTAGATAAATCAAATTGTTTGTCRCTGCAGACGCAAATATTATGAAATGAATCTATCAAATCAATTGACGTTAGCTGGAGTTAAAAAGGTGATTTTCTTATATCGTACATTGTTTTTTTTTTCATACACATGACTTTCTACTCTTTTTTTAGTGATATAACTACACTGATATAGGTATAAATAAGTGCAGGTCAAAAACGTCAAATTTACTGCGGTATATTTTGTTTGGTAGTAGTTTGTTCTAATTGTTATGTTTTAAGTTCACGATGTTTGATATTTTATATCATAGCTATACGAAGAAGAAAGAAAGCGAACACCATGGTAACACTGCTGAACATAGGACACCCGTGTGAATCTACCCAGCTACAGTCCTCATCGGCTTCTGTAGTTGGTTGCGCAGATGCAGTTGAAACTGTCTTGGTGTTTGTACTTGGCTGTTCAGTAGTGGTGGTGCTTTCTGT